TGGAATTCTTGGCCTGTCACCATAAGTGTTAAATTAACAACCTTCTAAGATTTAAAAGACAAAATTCTGGACAGAATTAAGTTCTTCACCTTTTCACCTAAATCCGTATTAGAGAGGGCACTATAGACTATAAGTTATGTTTTTATTTCAGTATTATACTGTTTGCTGGTTGGAGCTTAAAATCAAGTATTTAGTTCATTAACTTGTAAGAGATCATCTTTAAGCTTCAAATTAGTCATCGTGTGTGTGTGTGTGTGTGTGTGTGTGTGTGTGTGTGTGTGTGAGAGAGAGAGAGAGAGAGCGACAGACAGACAGACACAGACACACTAGGGATTGAACCCAGGACCTTCAGAACATGGAGCCATATCCTTAGTCCTTTTTTTACTTTTTTTGTTTTGAAAGTTGCTAAATTGCCCAGGCAGGATTTGAACTTGTAGGATCCTCCTGCATCAGCCTCCCAGAGTGCTGGGATCACAGGCCAGAAGACTTCTTAAATAGCATTCCCTCAATATTACTGAGAAAGAAAATTGTTTTTCTTTCTTTTTATTATAGTCAATAAACTTATGAATGTTGGATTAGATGTAAAAGCAGACATCCTTAATCTTGGACTGTACAATTTCACAACTGTTACAATACTTTTAAAATTTGAGGATATTTGGTTGACAACTAGCTTTTTAAAAAGTGTGCCGGGCGTAGTGGCGCACACCTGTAATCCCAGCACTCAAGAGTCTGAGGCAAGAGGATCATTGCGAGTTCGAGACCAGGCTGGGCTACAAAGTGAGCTCAAGGCCAACCTGAACTGCGTAGTGAGACCCTGTCTCAAAAAGACCAAAAAAAAAAAGTCAGTGAAAGTACTATAGCAGATGTAAGATGCTGTACAAGGACCATTTTTGAAATAGTGTAATCAAGTTTATTGAATATACTTTGTAAGACCAGCATGAGCCTAGATGTCAATGTTACAAAGCGGTTCCTGGCTCACTTAGTTTGATTATATCTTAAAACTGGCTGATCAGGTTAGTCTTGTAACAATATATACTATTTGATAACTTCGTTTTATTTTTTTTATTTTTTTTATTTTTTTTTTGCAGTACCGGGGATCGGGGATCGAAGTCAGGACCTTGGGCTTGCCAGGCAGGCGCTTATGCCACTGAGCTATATCCCCAGCCCCCTTATTTTGCTTTTTGAGAGAGGGTCTCACTGTGTAGTCCAGATTGGCCTCAAGATCACAGCCAATCCTCCCTCAGCCTCCCGAGTGCTGGGATTACAGGCCTAGCCTATTTGGTGTCTTTTGCAAATATCATCACTACACGTAATCTGTAGAAGGCAGGTGACTTATTTTAAATTTTTTTACATGACTATTTTAAGTAGATTTTTAAAAGTTCTTCCTGTTTGTTGGCTTTATGTCAAACTTAATTTTCTTGGGCTCTCCCCTAACATGATTGTGAGTAGGATTGTATGGGTTTGTTTTCACCTGTAACTCTCGTGAATTATGAAGCAGGGTGTACAGTATTAGTTTCCTCCTATTAAAACAATGGTAAAGCTGGGTGCGGTGGTGCACACCTGTAATTTCAGCATTCCCGAGGCTGAGGCAGGAGGATTGCTTAGAGTTTGAGGCCAGTCAGGGCTACATAATGAATTTAAGACCAGCCTAGAGTACATAGTGAGACCCTGTCTCAAAAAACAAAACAAAACAAAAAGTGGGGAATGACGTGCTTGTGAGAATAAATGCAAAAGGCACAAAGCTTAGTAGCTGACCACGTCGTTTGAAGAAGTAAGAAAGATTGTTCTGGAGGAATCATTTACTGTTTCACAAATGCAGGACCAGGAAAGAACCAACCATCAAGTTGCTTGAAAAACCTGAAATCCAAAATTTAAAGTGGTTGTGCCACACCCAATCTGAAATATGCATTAAGTTGGTTTCAGCAGTCAGTTTGTGTCCTTGGTTTTCCTCTAGAGATTTGGTAAGGTTTTTGTTGTTATGTCAGTGAGTTTATGGATTTGGTAGAAATACTTTGAGTTAATCTCAGGGCTTCCAAAACCTCAAACGGTTAAACACCAACCATTGCTTAGCTGGGTTGCTGTAAACAAAGCCCAGAGTCAACTCCTGAGTATTTGCTGCAGATTCCCAGGCGCCTGGAGGGTGCTGGGGTGGGTGCAGGGAGGCCGAGTTGGCCTGTCGCCCACAGTGGCTTTCTAGGCTCTTCCTGAGCACGCTCCTTGGGACAAACCCTGCGCGTGGATCTCCCTCAGGTTCAGGTAGAAAGAAGAATTTTGTCAGGCAAGTGAACTGCCAGGATAGTTTCCTTGATACGTTTAAGGATATTCCACAATAGCTGTTGATTAAAATAAACTCAGTATTTAGCAGTAGGCGTAGCATTCCTGTATGGCTGGCCAATGTGGCAGGGGGTCCAGAGTCCCCCTCGGGGAAGACAGTCCTGTCTCGGCCCGGCTTAGATTCTGAGTAGTGTGGCTGCTCTGTCACCTTTATGACGGGAAGGAAGCGCTCGTGCGCCGTGGCGGGATTTAGTCTAGGCACCGCTGGAAGGAGCTGGCCTGTTGGAGTGTGTGCTTTCTTTGTCCTTGAGGAGAGGCTGAAGTTTCCTGAGCTATTGATGATGACTGCAAGGGAACTGTGGAGTTGAACTTTAGGGTAGGGTGTGGGCATCGTGAGACGTTTTGCTTTAAAACAGGAACATGGAAATTAAAGCAGTAACTTCTTTACTTTTTGGTTTTAATCTGCTGTCATTTGACCCTGGTTTTTCCAGAGCAACACGTGGCCATTTTCTTGGGAAGCCATTTTCTTTTCAGTTATTACATGGGTTTGTTAGATTGAAAAAAATCTGCCTTTTTTTTCCTGCCTTGTTTTTTAGTAAGTGTCATTTTACTTTTTCTTACATGTAGTATACTTTAAAAAAAAAAAAAATTCTCAAGCATTTAACTAAAATTACTATAATTAAGAATGTGTATCCACAGCCTTTTAAAAAATTACTTATTTTGAGGCAGAGTCTCACTTACATAGTTCGGGCAGGCCTTGAACTCACAATGTAGCACATGCTGGGAACTTGCAGTGATCTTCCTGCCAAAGCGTCCCAAGTGCTGGGTTACAGGTGTGCACCACTACACCCAGTGTAGGTTTCACTTTCAACAGCATCAGTGGCCTTCTGTCTTGTCCCACCACTTCCTTTGCCTGCCTCTCTTAGTACCAAAACATTGAAGAGGAACACTGATTAATAGTAGCTCACTTCAAGCCAGGCGGGGTAGCGCATGCCTGTAATCCCAGCACTTGGAAGGCTGAGGCAGGAGGATCCTTGCGAGTTTGAGGCCAGCCTGGGCTACAAAGTGAGCTCAGGGCCAGCCCGTATAGTGAGACCCTGTCTCAAAAAAAAAAATTTAAAAATTAAAAAAAAAATAGCTTACTTCAAAGAAAAGCTTTAGTGTTTAGCTATTAAAATTATTTTATTTTATTAAAATATAATCATTTTAAGCTCTTTTTAAAAAAACTTTATAAATCTTCCATTTAATTTCTGACCTGTTTGGCTGCTTCTGGGCTTCACTTTCATTGGTCTTGCTAGGTGGGGTATACTGACCAGAGCTGGAGTGGAAGGGTAGTCTAGAGACAGGCCCTGAAGTTTCTGTTTTGCTCATATATTTAAATTTATTTCTAAAATAATGTTAGAAGGATGATGCTGTGTGGTTGTAACACTTAAAACCGGCGCAAAGGTGGCTGGTGTTAGTGATTGTCTTGTACTGATGCCTGTCTGATGCTTTCATGATAGTTTGTAGTTGGACCCTCACATACCACCCTTTGGACTTGTCTGTTGGGCTTTGGCTTTGGCTTTTTATCACCTCTCTTAGTCCAGGTGTGCTGGTGAGGTTGGCCTATGGTTTGGGTATGCAAATGACATCTTGAAGTAGAGGTTTACTGCCAGCTACGTTTTTGTGTTGAGCCCTAGAGAAATTTCTTTCTTGTTTAACACTAATGTTGAGATTCTTCCCCCAGAGGAATTACAGTTTATTTCACTCTACAGTTCTTTGGGTTTTTTTTGGTTTTTTGGTTTTTTTTTTTTCAGGACCAGGAATCGAACTCACGACCTCGCGCTTGCCAGGCAGGCACTGTGCCACTGAGCTAAATCCCCAGCCCCACTCTACAGCTCTTTGGATGTTTACTTTCTACAATTAACTGTTCGTAGGCACAAAACTTCGTAACTTCTATAAACAACCAAGGGGCAGAGCAATGATCAGGCAACATGAGCTCATTCTTTTTTTTTTGGTTTTTCTCCGGTACCGGGAACCGAACTCACAACCTTGCACTTGCCAGGCAGGCGCTTTTGCTGCTGAGCTAAATCCCCAGCCCCGCTCATTCTTAATTAGTATTAATGATTGATGGAATTATTAATCCTAAATTCTAAGTTTGGATTTCTGGGAATTTTTGATCCTCTTTTCAGCAATTCCAGTGCAGGTCCAAACTTTTTAGAACAGTCTGTTTATCATAGAAGAACTGAACACACACAAACCGTTTTCTGTGGGCAAAGCAAGCAGTGTGGGTTGATGCATGTCGAGCTACTTGTGCACTTGGTATCGTAGTGGTCATGGTAAATGCACAGAACTTCCCCAGGGGAAGTTCAGGCACAGAACAACGATGTGCCTTAGAATGCATCCTTAATTGTGTATGATTTCATCATGTACGAGATTGTGGGAGAGCTTATGGTATTTCTTAAAACATGGTTTGAGAAATGTTTTCCACCTTCAGAACTTGTGTTGAGGAGAGGAGAAGGAGGTAGTTAGTGGAGGCTCCTTAAGTGATGGAGTGTTGTGTGTGTTGCTGCACTTGTCTTGAGAGTTCAAGAATGGAGGCAGATCCAGGAGGGCTTCCCCGGAGCCTGCCTGTGTGAGCTGATCATAAAACCGCAAGTAGTTTAGGGGGTGGAGTGGAGCAGAAAAACCCTTAATGGCTTGTTACAGTCCTCACAAAGCTGTGTCAATTCCCCTTGCCTTTACAGACTGCTGCCCAGAAGAAAAGATGTTTGGTTTTCACAAGCCAAAGATGTACCGAAGTATAGAGGGCTGCTGTATTTGCAGAGCTAAGTCCTCCAGTTCTCGATTCACCGACAGTAAACGCTATGAAAAGGACTTCCAGAGCTGTTTTGGGTAAGAGCAGCTGGTGTTTGTACTGTCCTTAGCGCGAAAACAATCACAGCATAGGGAAATATTTCTCAGCAGAGCAATTGGAGCAGTGTGCTAATAATTTTTTAAAAAGCACTTACGTTTTAGTCCAGGATAGTTAGGGCTCCCCTTCTTAAAATGAATCAAAGCATACCGACAGCCTACCTTTTACAGATTAGTAGGGGCTGCCAAGTTGTGCGCTAACTAGACAGAGTATCTTGTTGTTAATTTCAGGGTACATACAGGGATTTTTAAGAATTACCTTTATTCTCCCTTACTAATTATGGTATTGATTTTCTAAACAGAAATATATTTTAACCTAACTTGCTGAGGAAGATGACCTTAAGACCTCATGTTCTGCCCTGAAACCTATCAGGATATGTTCGCTTTTATTTCATAATTTCATTTCTCTTTTGATGATGAACTTCTGCTTCATTGCATGGAATTTATTTTCCAACCAGTGCCTCACTAAATGTGTTGGGCCATTTACTGTTAGAAATTAATTTCATCACTTTTTTTTGGTACCGGAAATCGAGCTCAGGACCCTGTGCTTGCCAGGCAGGTGCTTGTGCCCCTGAGCTATATCCCCAGCCCTCACTTTTCTTATCAGAACATTTATTGACCACTTACTGTTGTTAATCCTAAACTTAGTAATTACTGTATGTAGTATTTGAGGGTTTTCAAAAAGTCTGTGCTTACCATGCCTGTTGGTTTTGTTTTGGTGGTAACAGCGAAATTCTTCCACTGCACTGAGCTGCATCTCCAGACATTTTTATTTTTTTGAGACGGTCTCATTCAGTTGCTCAAGTGGGACTTGAACATGCCACCCTCCCTGCCTAAGCCTACTTCATAGCTAGAATTATAGATGAATACCATCACTCTGGACTATCGTGTCACATTGTTTTCTAAAGGGTAGCGTTTTACAGATTAATGAAATACCTACAAACTTCAAGAAAGATTAATTAGACACTGTTAAAACCATGGCAACCTTTTTTTTCTAGACTTAGTTTTACAAGCATTTTGTTGATTGGTTATTGATTTCCATGCTGGAAAAATTTGCTTTTATTCTAAAACTACCAAGTTACAACTCATAGAACTGGTCCTTGGTTGTGTACAAATTATATTTCTGAAATATACTACAGGAATGGAAGAGCCAGGTTATCTTGAATGATTAGGCATTGTGCCTATGTTGCCAGGGATGGTGATACACTTTTGAAGTCCTGCTTGAGAGGCTGAGGCAGGAAGATCACTGAGTTTGAGGTCAGCCTGGACTACATAGTGAGACCTTGTCTCAGAAAACCAGAACAAAACAAAACAGAAGTTGTACCTATCAGCCACAGATGTACTTGCTCAATTCCTCTAAGGTAAAGGGCAGTGACGAAGGTTTGATGGTTCTCTCCCAGGTTGCACGAGACTCGCTCAGGAGACATCTGCAACGCCTGTGTTCTGCTTGTGAAAAGATGGAAAAAGCTGCCAGCAGGATCAAAGAAAAACTGGAACCACGTTAGTGATCTTCCTCTTTCCTCAGTAATTCCCCTTCTCCCCTCCTGCTGCTGCTTCACTCGTAGGGATTGGACCCAGGTTGTGCCCCTGGCTGTGTCCCCAGCCCTTTCCTGCTTCCCACTTTGAGGCAGGTTCTCCCTGAGTTGCCCAGGCTGGGCTTGTCCTTGGTGATCCTCCTAATTTGGCCTTCAGAGTGCAGGCAGTACAGGTGCGTGCCACCTTTCCTGGGCACTAGAACTTTTCACAAAATATGATGCTATGGACCACGCTGTTTGGGTTTTTGTGTGTTTGTTTAGTTCCTTAGTGCTGGGAAGGAGGCTCTGGGGAGGACCTCTGCACATGCTAGGCAAGTGCTTTACAGCTGAGCTGTACCCAACCTCAGTCTTCCTCAGTTCTTTTGTGCCGTAGCTTTCAGAGTGTGATATTTACAAAGAATACTTTTTAAGTAGGGGGCATTTTTCTATATCCCTTTACACTTCTGCTACACCAGCCTTTACTGTTGCATTATTGGAGCAGGCTTTAGTAGATTTGTTACCTTATTAAATATGAGTTTATTTAGTGCCATATTTAGAGGAGATCCAGATTTGGATTTTTGAAAGTGAAGGTGCCCTCCCTTTTACACAGAAATCTGCAGAGATCGATGTGAATGAGTGTGTGTAGTGCAACACCAGGGCTGGGCCTTGAGGGTCCGGATGTAGGGAAAAGAGTGCAAAGACGGTCTGGTCTCTTCCCTCCCAGCCACTCTCCCCTGTTTACTAGTTTAGGGAAATGTTCTTTGCCTTGATTTGCTTCAGTCTAAAATTAAGACTAACGCAGTAGCCCCCTTGCTGCTTTGTGGTAAAATCAGAAGTATATGAGAGCTTTGTAAATTGTAAAACATCTTGTAGAAATCTTAGTTATTAAGCTTGCTTAATGATGGTGATGATGTGCAGTACAGGTATTTGAACTGAGGACCTTTGCTCTGAGCTACGGCTCTGTCCTTTCATTTTTCATTTCAAGCCAGAGTCTTTCTAAGCTGTCCAGTCTGGGCTCAACTTGCAGTCCTCCTGCCTCAGCCTTCCAGAATGCTGGACTCACGGGTGTGTGCCACCACACCAGGGTGGGCTTGATTGTTTTTAATCTAGTTGGATCAGCCAATAATGATTAACCCCCACACGCACATCTATTTAAAAGTGTTTTCCAGCAGTCTTGTACTGTTACTCACAAAGAAAGCATTAAAAACAACAGGAGAGCAACTCAGGAGTGCAGGGCGTTGCTGAGGGGTGGAATGTTTGCGTGGCGCATGAGTGCCTCTGGAGCGCTTCTCACCCCCCGAAGCCCCCATTGTTAGTTGTATTCATTCTTTATCTCGTGTGATGACGAGAGGTGCACAGCCTTCCGTGCAGAACGGAGTATGAAACCTCAATTCTCAGAGAGGCGTCAGTCTGAACCAGTACTTGCATCTCCTTTCTTAACTGATGTTAAATATTCAGTGTTTGCTTCCAGGTGGTAGATGCGAGGGCAGGACCCAGTCTGAAGACCACACTGAAACCAAAGAAAGTGAAAACCCTGTCTGGAAACAGGATGAAAAGCAACCAGATCAGCAAATTGCAGAAGGAATTCAAGCGTCACAGTAAGTCTGGTGTTGGGACTTCAGTAGTGAGAGTAATTGTTCAGTTCTTATTTTTGGTTGGGGCTGTTATACATATGTGTAGATCATTTTTCCCCTTACAGCTTTTTTAAAGAGACCATTTGAAGTTAACTGATAGAGTTGTTACCTTGTGACTGTGAAATCTTAGAACGCTTTTAGGGGGTATACCAGGAATCAAACTCATGGCCTCAAGCTTGCCAGGCAGGTGCTGTGCTGCTGAGCTATATCCCTGGCCATAGAACTGATTTATTTTTTATGAAGAAATAAAATTTCATTAAAAAAAAAAACTAAAAGAATCACAATAGTTAATACACTATGTATTGTTACCTTCAAAGTCTGTCTGATTTTAATGTCATAAAAGCATTATCAGAGTCTACTGAATAATGTCTTTATCAGCATCTTAGTTTTCTAGAAGGTGCATTTCTTTCTTTTTTTAATTTTTTTGTCTTTGAGACAGGGTCTCACTATGCAATTCAGGCTGACCTTGAGCTCACTTTGTAGCCCAGGCTGGCCTCAGACTCGCAACAATCCTCCTGCCTCAGCCTCCCGAGTGCTGGGATTACAGGTGTGTGCCATCACACCTGGCCAAAAAATGCGTTTCTATTTTGTTTACTTAATTTTCCTATGCATAAGGAAATTAAGTCCTGGAGATAGGAGAAAGGTGTGTATTAGAGGACAGTCTACAACCAACACGGAGATTTTTTTTTTTTTTTTTTTTTTAAGACAGGGTCTCACTACGCAGTTCAGGCTGGCCTTGAGTTCCCTTGAGCTCCCAGGCTGGTCTCAAACTCACAACAATCCTTCTGCCTCAGCCTCCCAAGTGCTAGGATTACAGGTGTGCGCCACCACGCCCAGCCCAAATCCCAGATTTTAGAAACAAACTTTAGAACTCATTATTCACAGATGGAGTACAGCCAGCCTGTAGGCTTTCAGGTTTAAGGGCGAGTGTGTCCTGTGGGATGGAGTGGAAAAAACAAATGTTCGATTAATAGCAGCTTCACGTGCTGTCATTGGAACCTGCAGAGGGGGTGGGGTTGTGTTCATGTTTGGGAATGTTTCAGATCCTGAGAAGGAGCCACATTGTGTATAATGTTACTGTAAAATATCTTCATCACCCTCAGGATGGGAGTTACCACTATTAAGTTAAGTATTTCTGTTTCTATAGCAAAAATGTAGAGGGGCGTTCACGTTAGGTGGAGGTTGGGGAGAAGGTTTGTCACCTCGTAGTCACAGTTCAGGCCACACAGGCCAACCCAGAATTGGAGCTAGCTCAGAACTGTTGGTATGGGTTAGGGACTTGTATGTGGAGCTTTCAGGATTTTAAAAACATCTGTAGGACCTTATTAGACAAAATGTTATCAGTCTAGAAAAATGGGTCATAATGCATGTTTTAGAACAGTGTAGAGACAGCCAGGCATGGTGGCACATGCCTGCACCCCAAGCGCTCTGAGAGGCTGAGGCAGGAGAATCACCAGTTCTAAATCAGCCTGGGTACCTAGGCAACTTAGTCAAACCCTATCTCAAAGATATTTTGGGACAGGAGTTCTAGGGGTATAGCTCAGCGCAAAGGCCCTGGGTTTAATCCCCAGTGTGACCCCACACATACGCACACAAAAAGACAACTGAGTTTACTGAGGAGGTAGAGTGGGACTATGAAGGACTCACGTTGATGCACTTTATGTACATACTTGCCTCGGTTGTTTCCACTGGAGTTTAAGACAGGAAGCGCAGAAAGCTAAGCCTTGACTGGATCGCCTAGTGGTTAGACGGACTTGAATTTTGGCATCTCAGTCTCAAGACACTGGGGTCTCTACGCTGCACTGGGTAAAGTAGTCTCTCGCCCACTGGCTGTGTTTGCTTCCGTGCAGCCAGCAGCTACCTGGCCTGTTCGCTGCTGGGAAAGATTGGACCTAGGGCTTCAAGGTCTACTGAGTTACAGTCATCGATGTATGACCCTGGAGTTGCTCACGTTTAAACACAGTCTCCTAGCCTGAGAAGTGACAGTCGGCCTGCAAAAAGGTTTTTTTGTAAACAACAATTTTTTATTTTATTTTTGTGGTGCTGGGGATCAAACCCAGGGCCTTGTGTGTGCAAGGCAAGAGCTCCACCACTGAGTCACATCCCCAACCGAAGCAACAAATTCTTTTTTTTTTTTTTTTTTGGTCTTTTTAAAAGAGACAGGGTTTCACTATGCATTTCAGGCTAACCTTGAACTCACTTTTGGGGGGGGCGGGGTTTGTACCCAGAATCAAATTCAGGACCCTTGTGCTTGCCAGGCAGGTGCTGTGCCACTAAGCTATATATCCCCAGCCCGTTGAACTCACTTTGTAGCCCAGGCTGGCTTTGAACTCACAGCAATCCTGCTTCAACCTTGCCAGTGCTGGGATTAGAGGTGTGTACCCCTACATCTGGCCCAAACAACAGCTTCTTGCATTTTTTTTTGGCATTCTTTCAAAAACTTGTAATGATTTCTGATTCCTGTGGAATAAATGTTGTTAGGTTCCTGGAGAGTCTCTGGAGGTCCTATCGCAGGGACGGTATCTCTGGACTGCATCAGTTTGGTGCAGTAAAGTAAGCAAAGTGGTGGAAATGTCTTAGCTGTTGCCCCCGCCTGCCTGCCTTGTGCTGTCTACCTTTCCAAACCCTACCTGATTTTCAAGACTTCTAAAATTAGAGTTATTTGAAGAATTTCCATAGAGTCCACTGTGAATTACTTGGAAAGTTTAAAAAATATCCCACTAGTCTTATTCCTTTAAAGCCTGCTACTTTTGAGGATTTTTTAAATGAAATTGAATGCTGTTTATATTGGAAATAAATGAACGTGTACCTGTTAATGGTACTATACCATGTTTGGTTGATACCAAACACATAAACAAGCACCATACTAATGGTACTTTGTTTTACATGTTTATAGTTTTGTCATTTTATGGTTTTGTTTTTGTTTTTTTGTCTTTTTTGCGACAGGGTCCCGCAATGCAATTCAGGCTGGCCTTGAGCTCACTTTGTAGCCCAGGCTGGTCTCGACTCGCAACGATGATCCTGCATCCTCAGCCTCGAGAGTGCTGGGATTGCAGGTGTGCGCCACCATGCCTGGCTGTCATTTTATGTTAACATTAATACAAACTTTTGAGCTTAATAGGATCTCTTCCCCCTCCCCCAGCATATAACAGCGTTTGGTGCTTAATAAGTATTTGATTATTCTCTGAATTTTTTATGTTTTCATTTTTCAATTTTTTTTGAGACAGGGTCTCACTATTCAGACTGGCCTTAAGCTCACTTTGTAGCCCAAGCTGGTCTCAAACTCGCAACAATCCTGCCTCAGCCTCCTAAGTGCCAGGATTACAGGTGGGAGCTACCATGCACTACTATTCTCTGAATTTTAGAAGATTGCCTTATGCATTTGCCCGGTAGATGTGGGTTAATTTTACCCTGTTTACTGTGTTGTTGGCTGTGATACAGCAATATTGTAGCCTTCTAGTGTAGGGACTAACAACCACGATACATTTCCTGGCTTTTAAATTTATATGAAGACTTTTGAGGAAAAGCCTGTTAAGTGAGATTTAGCCCTGCATCTGTTGAACTTTACTCCGAATTTAAATCGTGATCTGTTGTCTTCCCTTTATAGGTGAGGTGGTGGTTTTCTTTGGATGATTCCAAATTTCCTTCAGTTTTCAGAGGGTTAATAATGGCGTGTCTTGGCGTGAGTTTCTTGAGTTTGTCCCGTTTGGGGTGTTTGCACAGCTCAAGTCTGGTGGTTTGTGTCACCTGCCGCCACTGGTGACATTTCAGCCGTTTTATTTTGTTGCTTTCTCGCCTCCACCCTTCTCCCTCCAAGACTGCAGTGATTGTGTTACAGTCTTAGAGCTTCATTTGTTTTCTCTCTGTTCACACTTGGGTAATCTCTGTTGCTGCTGTTTCCTGTTTTGTTTTCCCGGTCCCACTTGCTGTTACGCCCCTCCACTAAGCTTCTTATTTCATTTATGGTAGTTTTCAGTTTGAAATTCTCCATTTGTTTCTTGATAGTTTGTGTTTGTTGTCCCCACCTATCCTGTTGCTTGGACCGAACTCTGGGCCTCGGCCCTGCTAAGCACGCGGCTCCCCCTGCACTCTGTCCCCAGCGTCCCCTCCCCTTTCTTAATGAGGATTTCCTGTGACTTTAGTGAAGCCACATTTCAGTTTGTTTCAGCATGTTCATAACTGCACATTGAAACATTTTTTGTCATGACTGCTTTAAAATCATCATCTAATAATTCTAACATCTGTCATCTTGGTGCTGGCATGTGCTTGCCTTTTCATTCAGTTGGAGACATTCCTGTTTTGTAGTGTGCTATGATTTTGGTTGGAATTATGGACATTTTGAAATCTGTCGTGAGACTGGATCTTACCGAACCTGTCTTAACTGGGTTATCTCGGAACCCCTGCAGCCAGGGAACAGGGACAGTGTGGCTGCCTTGTTTGTTGCTCCTTCCTTTGATGTCCAAGGTGGGGCGGGTTCTTTCTTTACCAGTGGAGAGGGTTCGGGCTCCCTGTGGCCAGGGCGTGGCCTCATTCGTGGTGGACCTTAGTGAAAGTCCTGGCTCTGCACTAGGCTTCTGGCCAGTACCCTGGTAAAAGTTCGGGTGTCAGGTGACAGGGTAAGATGAAGGTTGGAGGTCAAGCCTGCCTTTCTGGGCCTGTGCTGGGGCAGAAGGTGATGGTCCAAGGTTTTCTTTGCTGCTTAGTTGGAGTGGTTATTATCTAATAAAAGTTAACTGTCTGCTAGGCTGCCCCTTTGCCTGCCTGGTTCTCTGGCGGGAGTTCAGTGGCTTTACTGGGGTACTTGGGTGTGTGTTGAGGGTTGCCTGTTCCCATTTGCATTTCTGAGTTGCTGCTGCTTTATCTTCAAGTTGTGATTTTTGAGGGAAAGAGAAAGTCCAGAAAAGCTAGGGATTTCCCAGTGTGCCCTTCTTCCTTACCTCTGAGGTCTTGAGGTCCTTAGCGTTCCTATCACCTCTCAGAGTTGGTTTCGGTCTGTTTTATAATGTAATGTCCTGGCCTTTTTTAGTTGTATGAGCAAGAGGAAGAGGGGAAATGTATGGACTCCATCTTGCTAGAAGCAGAAATCCTTGTTTTCTCATAAAATTACTATAGGATGAATGTCTTCAAAATTAGCAGAGAAAATAAATTTTTTTTTTTTTTTTTTTGGTAACCTTTTTATCAACTTAATGTCTTACTGACTTTTTTTTTTGGTAGTAGGAATCAAATTCAGGGCCTCACGCTTGCCAGGCAGGCACTAGGCCACTGAGCTATATCCCTGGTCCCTGTCTTACTGACTTAGTGGTTTTTTTACTTCGATGGTGCAGAAGTAATATGTATGCAATAGAAACAGTACTGCAAGTTTCAAATAATGGTCTGTTCCTAAGCAAGCTCTGTGCATACGATTCTCTCCTGATGCCGGGCAGCCAGCGCGAACCAAGGCTCCCAGTCAGCCGCCACAGTCTTGAGGGCAGACAGCCAATACTCTATACAGTGTGCTGTTGCTGAGCTGCACTGTTTGCGAGGTGTGGTAAATATGTTTCCCATTTAGCATGTATTATAGTGAGTTTATCAGGATACAACCCTCTCCCCCTCTGCATAGAGCAGCATGTATAGTTGCGGTTACATATAATGAAAGTGAATTTTCTTCTTTCACTGCAGATTCTGATGCTCACAGTACCACCTCAAGTGCCTCTCCAGCTCAGTCTCCTTGTTACAGTAACCAGTCAGATGATGGCTCAGACACAGAGATGGCCTCCGGCTCCAACAGGACACCGGTTTTCTCCTTTTTAGATCTTACATACTGGAAAAGGTAAAAGCAACAGAAAATACCCTGTAATCAGAAACCCATCTTAATTACAGGCAGGAGTTTCCCACTTCTGTAGCAGCTAAATGGCATTTGGCAAACAGCTGATAGCACACATGGTTGGAGGTGGTTAAAGCAGGAATTGAGCAGGGTGTTGCGATTCTGTTTTTCCTCTTAAAATTGATTTAAAATAAAAAATATTTCTAGGTCCCTACATGTCTTGTAATGGAGGAGATTAGAAATTCTGACAGCTATCAGTTTGCTACCTAAAAAGATGCAAGTGCTAGACGTAATTTTTTTAAGTGTATAGCACCAAAATCCAAGAATAGGAAAAGAAAAATATTTTCAAAGGGAAAGTAGTTAAGGATTTTCTAGATTACAGAAAACAAATGCGAAATAATAAGAAATTTCACCCAGAAGTACATCAGTGAAACTGCAGAATATAAAAGGTGGAATAAGCTGGGCGTGGTGGTGCACCCCTGTAATCCCAGCACTGGGAAGTTGAGGCAGGAGGAGCGTTGTGAGTTTGAGACCAGTTTGGGCCACAAAGTGAGCTCAAGGCCAGCCTGAACTGCATAGTGAGACCCTGTCTCACAAAGACAAAAAAAAAGGAAATTCTGAGAGGAAATAAAGGGAAATAAAGTAGTAAGTAGTAGTTAAGTTTAAAAATGACAGTAGTTGAGATAGTTAAAAAAAAAGAATTACATGATGACTATTGACATTTATCTGGAGGTAATAAAGGTAATCTGGTTAAGTGTCCAGTGTCTTTCACTCAAGACTTAAAAAGGTGGAATGTGTTGTGGTGGTGCACATCTACAATCCCAGCATGGTGGGAGGCTGAGGCAACTTACAGAGCCCAACCTGGGCAAGACCTTGTTTCAAAAAATAAGTTTTAAAAAAGAGAAGGGAATTTAGTTCAGTGCAAAGGTTCCTAGGTTTACTGTCCAGTACTGTACCAGCAGAAGTTCTCACATAAATAGCTAATTAAGTGAAAACGTGTTCAAATGTTTTGATAATTAAGGCAGTTCAATTTAATTTTACATGCAGTAGATGAGTCAATACTATAGAATAATTTCTGTTGTAGAATCTTGGAGACTGGAAAGGTAAAGTGTTGATCATGGGAGTTGTCTTGGTTACTTTTCTCTCACTGCTGAGACAAAATACCCAACGCCCAGAATTAAAGAAGGAAAGGTTTATTTAGCTCACAGTTTGTGGAGGTTTCAGTCCATACTCGGCTGGCTCCATGGCAGAGGGCAACAGTTCACTGCGGCAGAAGATAGCAAAAGCAGCAAGCAAAAAAAAAAAAAAAAAACAGGAGAAGCAAGCAAGCCTCTTTCCTTCCCTTATATTGTATGCAAACTACCTGCCCCAGGGCGGGAGTAGTACCCATAATCCCAACATTGGACCATGAATCAATGATGAACTGTGGAGGCCCGCCCCATGACTGCCTGAGGCTTTCAGGAGACATCCAGACACAAACCCTAACCAGAGTGAATAGGTATAACTGTCTTGGCTAATTGGCATTGCTGAGTAAAGTTGAAGGTGCTCCCCTTCGTACCCTAACAGCATAACCCAGGGAACAGTGTTAGGGTGTGTACACTGAACATGTGCCCCAGTGTTTGTCATGGCAACAGGCATACGCAAGAGGGAGAACGAGTAAACAAAACTGGATAGCACGGTAGCATATTGTATGTAACAATGAAATACAACCCTGTAACTACGTTTGAGTCTGTTTCTCAAGGTTGAGCAAAAGTTGCCAAATACAGTGGATTCTATTTGTGTGAGTGTTTGTGTAGTAGGTAATCTAGCAATATACAGTATTTAGAGACAACCAGCAGAACCAGCCGAGAGCAGTGATGGTGACCCTTTTAGAGCTTTCAGTGATAACAAGCAGCTGGCTGTGGCACATGTCCCATAGGCTTGCCATCACTGTCCTAGCGCCAAGGGAGGCGAGACAGAGTGGGGTGTGCCTGGAGAGGCTTGCGCGTGGCCTTATGGGAAGGGATCTGCTTGTCCTCGGGTGATGCTGGCTGTTGTCAGTTTTAATGCCTTGTGTACAGTGATAGCCACATACACACTTCGATCTACACAGTTAACTCAAATAAAACCACCACCGCTATTTGCTTGTCTCTGGTGGCTGTACTGATTTCTTCAAGGACCTGAAAGTTTGGAAGGAAACAGTTAACTTTAGAAGCGGCCTCTAAAACTTGCTGCTGACTCTTAAATGCCTTCTTCCTCCCTAATAATCAAGAAAATTCCACAGTGGTCTTAAAGGGAGGGGGGATTTCCATCCCCTAGTCAATTTGCAGTTAGTCCGGAGTCTTTTTACTGGGGATATGATAAAATTGCAGAAGTAGAAACTCTTGGTCATGTTGGACTAGTAATAATAGTAACAGTGTGTTTAGTTTGGCTTGGTATTTAAGTTTCTGCTCCTAATATCTTTTGTTCTCCACTTTGCCCTTCAGACAGAAAATATGTTGTGGGATTATCTACAAAGGCCGCTTTGGGGAAGTCCTCATTGACACACACCTCTTCAAGCCGTGCTGCAGCAATAAGAAGGCGGCTTCCGAGAAGCCCGAGGAGCAGGGCTCCGAGCCGCTGCCCATCTCCACTCAGGAGTGGTGACTGAGGTTCGCACACAAGGGGGACAAGACTCAGAAGACCACAGACCAACGAACTGACTCCTGTTTGCAACTCAGATACCTGCTGTTCTGCCAAAAGACATTTCCTAGAATAGTTTTGAATGGGTTATTTCCCCCCAGTTCCACCAAACTCTGAAGCCAGTGTCTAGCTTACTAAAAGAAAAGTGTACATAATATTTAAGATGCTGAGTATTTCATAGGAAAGCTGAATGCTGCTGTAAAGTGCTCTTTAAGTCTTTTTTTTTTTTTTTTTAAATCCCCTTCTAATGAATGAAATAGGGGAATTTCAGGGGACAGAGATGGGATTTGTGTATGATAAACTGTATGTAGCTTTAGTCTTTCTATATTAAGAAGCCGTGGTTGGGGCATTTTTAAGATGGCTGGCTACTCTTGTTTTCGCTTGGGATAAATTTGTCATAACTAGGTAACAGGTAGTTGCTAATAATTTTGAAATCTTAAGGTCTTGCCAAGGTTCTGATGATTCAAACCTGTACTACTGATTATTAAGCAGGACAGACGGAGCTTTCTGGTGCAAAAACCTTGAAGGAGGGCAGTGATTTTAAAATACACAAAGAAGAGCCGGGTGTGGTGGTGCACACCTGTAATCCCAGCACTTGGGAGGCTGAGGCAGGAGGATCTCTATGAGTTCAAGGCCAGCCTGAGCTACATAGTGAGCTCAAGACCAGCCTGAACTGCATAGCGAGACCCTATCTTACTAAAAAAGGATACATATATATACACGCAACTAGTTTGGCCATGTGTGTTGTACCTTGGGTCACCTCTCTTTATGTCAATGTTTGATAGACCTTATGTGAAACTGCAAGCAGAATCAACTCCTCCCAGGGAAATGGCAGGTCTACAGGACAGGCAAGACACTTTGGGTAGTGCTGGAACATCACCACACACTGCTAGCTTGCCAGGCATCATGCAAGTCTTCAGGGTGCCACAAAACCAGGACTAATGCTTCTTGGGCGTGTTCTTAGAGGGCTTGCCAAGTGTGTGAAGAGTCGGCTTTGTTGGTGTTGCCTGACTGTTGGGTGACTTGACTGAAATCTGCAGCATTTAGTTTCAGCTCCGGATTCTTTCAGTTGACCTTTCTGAAGGTCTTCCCTGTGTAGAGTAGGTGTTTGCCTTGTTCTGACTAGGGCTTGTAGGGTTTTCACTTTGTTTAAAGTAAAATTTAGCAGAAGTGTGTGTTTGTGCTAAGCAGGTTGGTTTGGGTTTGGCTTCTTTCAATGAGGTTTCTGAACACGGAGATGAGCTTGGGCATGGAGCCTTTCAGTTCTAAGGTGCTCGCTTTAGCCTCTCACTTGACTGAACCCAAACCAAAGTACACCTGTTGCCTCTTTTCTGCAAGTTCAGGAAGAAAATAGCACCAGCTCAGACTTCCACAGTGAGGGAGGAGCATACGCTTGCCTTACAGTAGACTCAGTGCTTGTTTCCAAGACTGGATTTCTAAAATCGGATGTGTCATGTTAAGGAGTGAGCCACTTTTTATAGGCACCCTAAGGTTTTATAGCTCTGAATCTAAACTTAACATGTTCTATTCTTTTGGGAAAAACCCCACATACAGGAGTTGCCATATGCAGACTACATGAGACAGGCGGCTCCCCGACGCCCTGGGGTACTGCAGGAGTCCAGCCAGCATCATCCTCCCAAGTTGTTTTGAAATGGTTCTTTATGTACATTTTGGCTGCAGTATTGGTGGTAGAATATACTATAATATGGATCATCTCTACTTCTGTATTTATTTATTTATTACTAGACCTCAACCACCATCTTCTTTCCCCTTCCACCTCTCTTTGCCTGTAGGACGTACTGTATGTAGTCATGCACTTTGTATTAATATATTAGAAATCTACAGATCTGTTTTGTACTTTTTATACTGTTGGATACTTATAATCAAAACTTTTACTAGGATATTGAATAAATTTAGTCTTATTAGAAAATAAAAGGAGCTGTCTTGTGGCTTTGTACTCCACATCTTCCGTAAGAATAACTGATGTTCTTTCTTGGCCTTTACAGACGCTCAGTCGAAGCTCTTGGTGTTACTCCTGGCCATGAAGCGGGAAGCAGAGCCTGGGCTGTAGGGTCTTTTAACTGATGTGCACGATAACGAGCTTAGTCAGTGTTCCCTGTACTTCAGCGTCTGGGACATGGTTTCATTACGCCTAGTCTGCTCCTTACGGGTCATTTACATAAATTTACAGGACTAGTTCAGGATGATGAGGATTCCTGAGGTGTAATCCCTGTCAAAGCTCTGAAAAAAGACCTATTACCTGGTGAAGGTAGATCTGTGGACCAAGCACCCTGTCCTGCTTTTGAGGTTTCTGTTGTTTACTTGTGCTGGTCAGAACTACAGCCTCCTGAGTGCTAGGCAAGCGCTCTGGCACAGTACACGCTGGCCCTGCTGAGGGACAGTCAGGTGGTTTCATTGGCACTTACTGCAGGGGTCTCGAAGTTACTGACGGCCTTGAACAGTGGGAAGGTCGTAGTCCTGCACTGTCTACCACCGCGGAGCACGGTGCCGCCGCTCAGTGGCTGAAAGCCGTCTCCGCTCCGTGTCTGGCCAAGCTGAGCACGTGCTAGGGTCTTGCACGGTGTCAGCCACTTTCACTGGTGGAGTGCCACAGCCCACCGTGGCTTCGAGCTGCCTCTCCTTGCAGCTGTGGGGACGCAGCACCTGCCTTCGTGCCGGGAGGCGCCTCCCTTACTTGCCTGCCACGTGGGGGCTCCCTGCGTGACTCAACTGCAGCAAATGCACAGGGCCCGCCTGCCTTCATGACAGGCCTCAAGTCACGCCTGCGTCCATGGCGAAGACCCTTGTGAAGGAGTGAATACTGGTGGTGGGGTGTGGGTTCGTGGTTTGTCTGCCACAGCTTCCTATAGTTACACTTGTGTAGTGAGTGAAAAGTTCTTGAAACGGCTACTTCGCACCAGGTGCTTGTTTTGTTGGTTGGCTGGGTTTTTGTAGTCCAGGCTGGCCTTGAGCTTGGTGATCCTTCTACCTCAGCCTCAAGTAAGTAAAGGTATAAGGAAGTCATGGTATTAGAATAAAACGTACTTCGACTCCAAAGCATTTTGCTCAATCTTCCCTGTTTCCTCTCATCTCTCCCCTGTCCTGTCCTTGAAGTCCTGCTGTGTAGCCCAGGCTGGCCTCACACGATCCTCCTGCCTCAGCCTCCTGAGCACAGGGATTCCCTGCACCTGCATGCCTATTGTTACTTACATGCTGCATCTTCACTCTCATGTGGGAGTGAGGATCAGGTCCCGCCTTCCCTCCTTGCTGAAGGCTAACGGTGAGGGATGTGTTTGACTTCCCAGAGGGGCAGTTTTACTAACTACTGATAATGACTTTGCTATATTGTCTCTGTGCGGAAAACAGCCCTTGGGGTTCAGTGAAGAAAAGGATACCCCCAAAACTAATCCAGTAGCTGGAAACCCTTCCGCCCTGCAGTGAAGAGCAGAAGGTGCCCAGAGAGGCTCTTCGCCAGCACTTGTAACTGTCCAAATCCCCAGTGAAGCCTGTGCCTGGCACGCGTCTCTCGTGTCCAGGAGCTGGGGAGGGTGCCGTGAAGACAGGCCGTTTCATGGCCTCTTGTCCTCAGGAAAGGGTGGGAGGACACTCGCATGCATGGTGTCTCAACCTGAGGGTTGGGTCACTCACTGTGATCAGGACAGGGCTCTGGATCCAGATCCTTAGGCTCGGGACAGAGACTGCTTGCTCCACAGGTTGAGTGGGGGTCTTGGACACACTGGTCACGCTTCAGTGTAGAGGCGTGTAACATTCCGTGTAGAGAGGAGACTTGAGGCGGGCTCAGTGTCTGTTGGGGAGGGGGATTACTGCTTCAGGTCTGTTCTCCACACGTCCGCAGCTTGGGGTCGCTCCACCCTGGCCGGGTGTGGGCTTTTTGCAGCTGCAAGGAAGTGTGGTTGTTTTATGCTTAGGTTCTGCATTTAAATCTCAACAAAGCTGAGTGCAGTGGTGTACACCTACAACTCCGGCTGAGGGAGGCTGAGGCGGGAGAATCTTGAGTTTGAACCCAGGTTGGATAACTGAGACCCTGTCTCAAAAAACAAAAATGAGGCTAGGGATATAGGTCAGTGTGACCTCTAGTATCACAAAATCCCAAGTTCTTTAGCAAGGCCCTGGTAGTGTTAAAATGGGGCCCTGAACAATATTATTATTATTATTTTTTTTGGTAGCAACCATATTTGTGGCTTTTACAAAGCAGTCCGCTTTTGGTTCTGACCCCACCACTTTTTTTTTTTTTGGTTTTTCTGGTGCCGGGAATCAAACTCACGACCTCGTGCTTGCCAGGCAGGCGCTGTGCCGCTGAGCTAAATCCCCAGCCCCTATGTCCCCACCACTCTTAAGTGTTGTTGCTGGCTTCCTAGGGAAACTCCAAGCCCTCATCGGCCTTATCTAAGTTGAGATGGTGGCACAAGCGGGGGGCCCTGGGTCTCTCCGCCTCCTGCATCCCGCCAGGCCGCACGCAGCCCTTAGGTGACAGCGGGCAGGTCTCCCTCAGCGCACCCCACCACTCAAGCCCTCCCCTGTCACCGGGCTTTCATCGGGGGCGCTGGCAGGAGATGGCTGGCTTGTTTAAGTAGGGTCCTTTGGGGAAGCGTTAGCAAGGAGTCTGCTTGATTTCTGGCTTAGCGGGCGGGTGGGGGGGTTCTCCAAATCCTGCCTGGCCATGTTTCTGCTGGTGAAGTCGGTGCTGTTTCTACGCCGGGTCTCAAGGTTAGTCTGGTGACGCTATACCACGTGTACTGGCTTTGGTTTGTTAGGGGAGTCATGTGAAGGTAGGCCATGACTGTCCAGTGCTCACTGGTCTCCTGGGAGTAGGAGGGTTTCCCTTAGCGGTAATGTCTTTGCCATACCGAGCTATAGGGACGTGTCCACTGTCATCCGCATGGAATAAATTGGCCCCATTGGCCCCAAGACTTCCTCCATCCAGAATTAACCAAGCTTATTGGTTAATATCAGCAGGTCTAAGAGAATCAGCGGTGGGAGTAGAAGGCAAATCCAAATCCAAGTTGCTGGGCATGGTCGCACATGCCTATAATCCCAGCACTTGGGAGGCTGAGGCAGGAGGATCCTTGTGAGTTCGAGACCAGTCTGGGCTACAAAGTGAGCTCAAGGCCAGCCTGAACTGCATAGTGAGACCCTGTCTCAAAAAGACAAAAACAAAACAGAATCTTGGTGTTCACACATACACTTGGCTGTGTGACCTTGGACTTTTTTGATGTGTCCCAGCTGA